AAATTTCACGTCAAACAGAATGTTATTTGAAGAAATCGCAGATTGAAGTTGAAAATTCACGCTAAACATTGATTATTTATGAAATCACTAACTCCATACACTATTGAATTCTGTTAAACTTCAGCATGAATATCAAACTGGCCGTCACCCGTCCACCAGTCCTCAACTGAAAACCTGGCCCTCACATTGTTTGAAGTGCTTAAAATTACTTTTAGTAGGGATAAATCACTTTGCTACACGTTGATAATAATCAAATAAGAATGTGTTGTGACTACAGTTGCATCTTATCAAATATTAATCAAGTGCAGCGACCAACAACGGATACGCAATTTCCAAACTCGCGTCGGGCAAGCTAAGATTTCTTGATTTGAAACCTAAAAACGTATTTCTAAACTCCAGTTAATATAAATATTAATCGGTGTATAGTTTAAGAGACCATGGAACATTCTCCTACAGAGCCCGGCTAATATACTTTCAAACTTTACCCATTGTTTTAATTTAAAACTGAATAACATTCTAGATAATGATGTAAATATGTAGGATAGGTAATTGTACTTACACTGTACTTTTAGAACTTCCCTAAATGTAGCAAGGTGATTTCTTTCACGCCAAGTATATGTGAATTCTGCTGTTTGTATCATAAGAAAGCAAAGGATCAGATTCTCTCATCTGCTATCTACAAGCGGGGGTTCAACAGGTTTTGGGTGATAAAACCACACGCAATAAAGACGTTCTTGTATCAAATCCCAAAGCAGGTTTTGAAGATGCAGTTGCCAACACCTGCTTTCTCATCAATGGCCCTAGCTGTGAAATTTTCAACCAAGTGCATATTTGTTATCTGGCAAAGGCGACTGCCATCAGTGTTATCCGCGGATTAAATAAATTAGCATTTTAAGCTACGAAACTGAGAGGCTAGCAGGTGTATTCTACTGTAATGAAGAAGACTTGCACGCATTTTGCAAATTACTTCTATTCCAGTTAAGGCGATTTGAGCAGGAAAGCTTCAGGTGATTTGGCCATCTGAGACAAGAAATCTCTGCAGTTTGTTTAGTGATGCGGTTCAACCGGAGTTTAAAATTGCTACTGTTAACTAAATGACAATATCGTGTAGTAAAAGTTTTGATGATTCTTCAATCCAGCAAAATCAAGAGAGTTTACCAAAAATGTGTTGCCAAAGCAGCATGTACGCTTTTTAGGCAAAAGTAGTGAACAATTTCAGCATTTCGTTAATGAACAATTTCAGCACTTCGTTAATGAACAATTTCAGCACTTCGTTAATGAACAATTTCAGCACTTCGTTAATGAACAATTTCAGCACTTCGTTAATGAACACTTTCAGCACTTCGTTAATGAACAATTTCAGCACTTCGTTAATGAACAATTTCAGGGGCTCCGGAGAACCGATGGCCATGGATGTGAATGGTATAAGTTGGGTTGAGACTTTCTTGATTCTCTTTCTTCAGCAACAACGAGGAACAAATTTGAAATATGTCTAATTGTAGTGTCAGAGATGACGATGATGATTTTCTTCAATTAAACATCGTCTATGTTACATTTACGATCTTGTGAAGTATGGGAAGTTGTCAAGTTTCTCTAAAACAAGCTATTGCTTTACCTAGTCATCACATGAAGTCATCAAATGTTCGCCCTTCAATTGTTTAAGAACGGAGGATTGTCCTTCATGCCCCAATCATATATATTCTTCCACCAGGAGAGGTTACTTAGTTCCCTCTCCTAGGCTTTGGGTAGCATGCAAATTACAGCTAGCCGTAAAGGGACTTGAATGATTAAAGCTCACATTTCTAAGAGCGTAGTTCGATTACAATATTGTAGGCCTAGTATATACTTATTCATTGGTTTTAACAATTTATGTGACATTTCGTTTAGAATGGTTACCAGCATTATTTCAGATATTGGGAAATAGCCTGATATCCCTCTCAGCCCTCGATTGGGAAGTTGACTCAGCTCCACAAGCTTCCTGTCTTGGTCCATCTATATTTCATCGATAATTTTTACGAAGCTGAGTCGCCTGAATGAGACTACAAATAGCGTTCTAATGAAATAAATGCATGGCGACAAGGCATTAACCTTTACTTGATCACAAACTCGTTCAAACTCATTCATTTCAACGATGCAAAAAACAACTACCTAAAAGCCAATACGGAGCCTTGCAACTTAAGATTCGTGATAATGAACTCAAAGTAGTATCTTGGAGTGTAAATCAAAAAATTCAAAGGGGCAGTTTTATTGTTAATGCCATGGTATTCTGGGTAGTGATGCAGATTAAGGTAGAAGGAGACAGATGTCTCTCTGAGCCCTCGATCTCAAGCTGCCCTTTCGGTTGCATTGTCGTGGAGTCCTGTTACTGGGCACCAGTGAGAGTACTCAATCTTATTGCTTCACAAAGGTCTCATACAGTTTAAGCTACAGTTTGAGTCCACATGAAGAGGCACATGAAAGTGTAATAAACATAAACATGTACTCAATTTGAAGATCATCATTACTCCTCTGCCTTCGCCTTTGTCACTTTGAAAATTCTAATTTGACGAGATATTCCATGTGAAAAGGCTTTTAAAAGAAAAAGAGTCAGGCAAAGGAAAGTTTTTTAAAATATCGAAAATGAAGAGCAATTAATTCACAAGTGATCTTTGTTTGTCATAACAAACTCTGCTAACGAGCCAATGCGCCTTTCCTTTCGAGGAGCAAAACCACAAAACAGTCTTCAACTGAAATCAAGACAGCATCGTCTTTAACTTATTTAATACAGCCAATTGAAACTTTGTTGATATTGTAAATACTGTGTAATCTCTGATAGGTTTCATATCATATTGCGTTGTATCCTAGAGTTTTTTCTACTGTTATTGAGTGCCAATTATTAGCCTATATGGCAATCTACACCGATTTCACAAGCAGGCAGAGGTAGAAACTATGCTACAAAGAGTTAGCTTTCTGAAAATGCCAGTAACAGAGAAACTTGCTTTGCAACTCCTAGTATTTGTAAAACTTTTCTTTTCACTATTCTAACATTGCACAAACAAAAGCAAAACCAAAAAAAAAGTGAATTTAGAAATAAAAGATTTAGTAAAGGTCTCTATTATGATTATCAAGATTAGACTGCTTATTTACCAATAGCTTCGCAACACAATAATTTACTGCTGTATCTTAAATTCAAACATCATTTATCGGAGATAACCAACTATGTCCTCAATAAAGAATGTCTTTGTCAATGTAGTACAATTAAAATTTGGTCTCGCACATAGAGCAAAAGAAACAAAGCAAATATCTTTAATTGTCAGTGTTTGAAAACTTTGATTACAAATTATTACATAAGATACATCAAAAGATACACATTCCGCTTGAGATCTCTAATCATAAAATTACATTGAATTAATATCACACTAGTTTTATACCATCGTCAATATATTCGTTTTTGAGAGTTTTATACAACACTTTCAATCTTAAATCACAGCTACAAGAATCAACCTTTACAAATATTAAGTCTAAAAATTTCAAAGATTGAATGACAAATGCATAATCACATTATCAATTATGTGTGCAACTATCCATTATCAATTAACTAATTAAATGCTGTTACAAAAGGTTATGGTTACAGAAGACACAATATTGGTTCATAGCAAAGTTTCTATTCACACAAAGGGCAAGTTAAACGTCTGCTCCATGATTTTCAAGAAGCCGATCAAAATTGTCATGCTTTTGATCCTTTATTATTTATTAAAACATGTTTTTTAAATCGATCAGATACAACGCTATTTTTACTATGGTTTCTTCTAAACGTCTTAGTAAATCTCTCTTTCTCTGGGTGTCGTGCTCCTTCAAAGCATGGCTGACTGTCATGGCCTTCCACTCTACCCTGCTCTTAGCTGTCTTAATCAATTCTTTAGCTTCTACATTTGCCCACGTGCTCAAAGCCTTCACATATCCAATTCTTGATCTTCCTCTTCCTTTCTTTCCTTCTATCTTTTCAGTAACCGCTAGGTGCTACAAGCCTTCCCTTCTCATCACGTGCCCAAAAAATCTTAGTAAATATTATCGACTAATTAATATGTACTCGACGGAATAGCAAATTCTATTCTGTTATGTCCATGAATAGATCCAATAGCAGCTAAAGAACTAAATGATTTATTATTTGAAACTACAAAGCCAATCATAATTTTGATAGTTATTTTGATCATGCACATAACAGGTGAAAATAAAAAATAAGGATAAAAATGAAAATGACCAGTTCAATGTGCCAAAGTCAAGTCTTCGGTTCTTTGTAGCTCAATGTGGTTGCTCAGTTCTGCTGGATCAACTGGATAGGTTTTGATAGTATGAGCTTTCTTAAACTTCAATGCACAAACTATCAAGAAAACCAGTATAAGAATACCACCAACAACTGAACAAGAAATGATGGTCGCCATCTTTCCCTTGTTTTTGGCTCTGGTTGACACTGTTGTTTTGAGAGTTTCATTCTTTGAGTGAGCTGAATGAAAATTTCTTTTAAAAATTCAATGTTCCTTAAACCATATCTCTATTGATATTAAATATATTAAATGCATTCTAAACAAAAATTGCGATATTATGTTAATGGAAACTGACGAAAAATGCCACGGCAACAAATTTTGTTAAAGGGAACGTTCCTTTTTTAAATAACTTGCAACACCAGCTTTGCAAAAGTTCTTATTCCAGATAAGTTGATAATGTTAAAATTGAGTTCGAGGATAGAAATCATTATAAAGCTTTGAATGTCAATAAAACTGCGCCAGGAACATTGACAGGTTTCAGGCCTTCCCCTTGCCAGGATTCATTTCGATTTTCAAACCGTTTTAAGCATTCGAGCCTTAGGAGAACTCTTTAATGTTTGATCGAATGTTCAGTGAATGTATTTAATACTTTACCAAACAGAATTCTTGGGCTTCTCGGATTGCAAAAAACATGATCACAAATCAATTCCAAACCTTACTAACCTTTGGTAGTTGAATTGTTATGGTTGGTGGTAACATTGTGTTTCTCCGAGTTGGTTGATGGTCTATCTGTTGTTGTTCGATTGCCACTTCCTATAAACAGAAATATATGCCAAGGCTACTTTCAAACATCAACATAGCAGGGCAACAAGTTTGAAGGATCACTAAAATCCTTATTACAGTTACACATTTAGCAATCACATATATAACTTAAGGCTGTTGTGAAGTGCCCATTGGGCCTGAAAAACACCAGTTCATAGACACTTTATACACACTTTTATTTAAATAAATATAAGAATATTAAGCTCAAAATCCTCGAATCGTCAAGAATATTTTAAGACTATTTCTCAGCCTCAGGTCGTATATTTGTGTCTCGTATTTGTCTGCAGTTGCCTGTTTCGCGATGACAATAACAGAAAACTGGATGACTTGCATATCTCGTTGATCCAAAAAGGGTGATTTCTGTACGAGGTTGGACTGTGTTCCCCTGAAACCATTTCAGATTTGAAAAAACACTTTACAACCTATATTCAAGCTCAAAATGAGAATGTTCTCAGAATATTGAGACTGAGCTAAATTTAAAGTATTCTTATCAAAGAAATGAGTTTATGCTGCTGATATCTACTTCTTCTGAATCGGCATTTGTTTTGTTGTTCACCAATGAAAGAACAGGCCTTTTCCAACCATATTAGTTTTCTAAGTCGTGAATTTTTAGATAATTTCTTATTTTCATTGACAAAATTAGTAGCTATTAATAATAGAAGGCAGTTGAAATTCAGTAATTCTTGCGGCTACTGCTATTTCTATCCACAGCTTGTTTTAGACATCAAACTGTAAACATGTCACACAGCTTTGCATTATTATTTCTTCAATATAACTCCTTAAAGTGTTTTTGCTGTGTTTTGAGTGTATGTCTATTTAAGACTAGAGACTTCAAGACTAGAGCACTTACATTCAGTTCTTTTCTTATCTTGTTTGTGACTCAAATTTTCTGTTATTTCAAGTATATTCTGCGTATCAAATCAGCCCCTAAAGTAAGGTGAGGGATTAAAAAAGCCTTTCCTTACCGATTAAGTCTACCTTTGGAATAAACATTTATTTGTGTTATAAAGGTACTTTGGGAACTCTATCAAAAATCGATGTATTTGGAAATTACTATTTCAGCTTGTAAGAAAGAGTCTGAGAAAAAGCAAGTGAAAATATTACCTTCTCTTGTGGGCAAACGATCGGATGTACTTTTTACAGTGCTGGTTGACGGTGCTGTTGTTGTAGTTGCACAGATACCTGTTTTGACTGAACAAAGCAGATAAGTTTAAAGGTAATTGTGTACAAATTGGAAAATATCCAATAAATAGGTTAAGTTTATGCCAAGAGATGGTCCAAAGCCGTTGTTATTAATGAATAAAGCATTATGCCAAGAGATCGTTGATGCGCAAGACTTTTAGAACAGTAAGCAAATGATCGTTGATTAAAGGTATGGATTTGAAACTCAAGAAATTTGAAAAATTTTGTGCCGTATAATATTTTGGCTTATCGTCGAAGACCAATTTGCTGCTCCATTTGCTCTATCGGTAGTCCAAACCTAAACTGAAGTTTTGTTAGGCCCTGTTGCAAAATGTTCATCAAACAGAAATATATGAGCAGTGGAAGTGGTTGCATTACTTCCAGTAATTGTTTTATTCTTTCTAACATCTTGATATTGGAAAAGATTCAAGAAGCTTGTTTCAAAAAGAAAATTTAAGGTACAGACATTTTTGAAAATATTAAAATATAAGAAAATTGTTTTCGACAATTCCTTTTCCAGTATCTCAACACAATGCCTTTTCCTGTGTAATAAACTCACATCTACGCAAGCCCAGAGAGGAAATTCACGCCACTTTTATTTGTTTTGCTTTGGTCAGAAAGCTGCGAATGCAATTTACAAAAGTTGAAAACCAAACATAAACTGAACAATCGGCTTTAAAGAACGAGTAAGCTAGCTTAACAGAATTGTTCTTTCGATCGAATAGATGAAAAATCACTATGCGAACAAGGAGAGTCTATGATTATGTTCTCAAATAGCCCCTTTCATTTCCACTCCTTATCCATTTTCTGGTCATGCCTAGCTCTGTTTTGACTTCTTTTCTCGCTATCATCAAAAGTTCATAAAGACCTACAAAACACTGCACCAGTTTGTCGTTTTGTCTGTAACCGAGTTGTCATGTTCAGTTTCCAACAGAATCTTGAAAGAATATGTTTGCTCCAGTGGTTTTTGTTGTTGAAAAAACGACAAATTTTGGGTGTAATGTTGCGCTGGTTTGGCCACCATTACATCAAATATTGTACAACAATACTTAAAAAGCGTCATAAATTTAAGGATTTATTCATAGCATGTTCACTGTTATAACCGGGCATTATTGCTCTTGTCAAATATTTTTTGTTTAGGCCAATAGCACTTTGTCTATGCTTATTGATTTTCTTGAAGACCCGTTTTAAAGGAAGGAATAAATGATTAAACAAAATGATAGATAGTTTAAAAAATTCCACTAAAAGTTTTGACATAAAACGGTATACTAGACATCTAAACTTCAGTGATTAGAAATTTCTCTGATAAATTTTTACCTGGATAAAATGCGCTGACATTGTAACTTGGCTCACATCGTAAACAGGAACTGAATGATGGACTTTCTCCATTTTTAAAGCAATAACCGTTTATCAAACATGTGCCTTCCTAGAAGATGAGCAAATAATTCAATTTTGCAAACATTTTTTCATTATTTTATAATCTAGTTATCTTTTATCACAATTTTTACAAATATTTACAAGTTTTAAACTATAAAAAAGATGAAATACAATGCTATATGCGAGAGCGTTTTTCTTTATAATTCAACTAGAAATTTACACTTACAGACAGATGACACTACAAGACGATTGTACAGGGAGTATGAATAAGCATGCCAAGACGTGACGATAAACCAGCCCTATTTAAGTGGCAGGGACAGGGGCAGGCTGATAATTTTACTATAATGGTCCTCCTAGAGGCAATATGACAAAATATAACCGCGATAATGGAAAAAGGATGAAATTTGAAAAATATGCGATTAGAGGATATAGGATGAAACATGATAAACATGCGAATAAAGGAAATAATGTGATAAACATGCGATTAGGGAATAAAGGAAGAATACGATAAACATGCAATTAGATATTTAAAGAAAGAAATGCGATAAATATGCGATTAAGGAATAAAGAATTAAATATGATAGGCATGCGGTTAGGAAATAAAGGAAGATATGTGATAAGCATGTGATAAACATGCGATTAGGAGATATTGGATGAAACATGATAAACATGCGATAGGAAATAACAGATTAAATAATGATAAACATGCAATTAGGGAATAAAGTAAGAATATGATAAACATGCAATTAGATATTTAAAGGAATGTGATAAATATGCGTTTTAGGAATAAAGGAATAAATATGATAAGCATGCGGTTAGGGAATAAAGGAAGATATGTGATAAACATGCGATTGGGAGATAAAGGATGAAACATGATAAACATGCAATTAGAAAACAGTTGATGAAATATTAGAAAAATGCCTTTTGATATTAAAGGATGAAACATGATAAATAAATATTATATATTTGATCAAATATTTGAAAAATTTGCAGCTAGGGAATTTTTCCTCCAGGAATTCTTCAAGAAAGATTTACTCAGATCTGACCAGAACAGATTAGTTGGTTTTCCATTGTCAAACTAGTATTTCCAGCATAGATGCTAGGTCAAGAGGATTCTAAGCATTCTTCAAGATCTTATAGATAAATGAGGAAAAGAAGAGGGTCTACGCAAGATCCTTGTGGCATGCCACAGGTTACTTTCCTATCTTTTGAATGCACACCATTTAGAGAGCAAAATTTCTTTCTGTTTGTGAGGTAAGATTTGAACCAAATCCCAGACTTGCTCCTGACCCCATATGCGCGCAACTTTTTCATTCTAATGGCTATGGTGTCAAAAGTGTATACGTGTCAAAAGCTTTCTTTAAGTAGAAGAACATACTAAGGTTGACTTTGCTGTGATCTATGTTCTCATGCCAATAGTCAGTACTGCCCACCAGCGAAGTTATTGTGGAGTAATGTTTGCGAAAAGCTGCTTGGTTGCTCGTTAGCCGTTTATTTTCTTGAGAAAATCAAATAGCTGGGTGCGTGAGCCACTCTAATATCCTTGAAAACACAGAAAATACAGAAATGGTTCAAATCGTCACTTTGCTTCGGTAGAGGGCATGGAGAACCCGAAAGTTGGAGAAGGAAAAATGGCTAGAAACAGTACTGAAATATGATAGAAATGTGAGAGTAACGGCTCACTCGCCTCGCCAAGGCTTGCTCTTGTCAAAGGAGATCTATTGTCGGACAGCAGAGCCCGTTCCACCGAAAATTGGGATGCGAAAAGGATTTAGTTAGACTATCTTAGTTTTTTAGTTTGTCTTGATGAAATGAAACTGAAACATAGGATGACAACAAAATTTTGTCTCACCTGAAATTGACATGTGCCGTTATTGGTGCAGTTAATGCACTTGGAATCGTAGATTGTATAATTGTGGGACTGCTTACTGAATATTATCCCATCGTTTGAGACTTCAATTTTGAATCTTACATACGGTGTGCCGTTAATTGACGAGGTGTAACTTTTGACTGGATTATCCACCATGTCGCAAGTCATTTCCCCGAAACTTAGCAATGTTGCCTTTGTAAAGATCTGTTTATCTGTTTTGCTGTCAGAAAGATTGGACATCTGCAAAAATCAATCAATATTGAATAATTGATATCAGTGCTTAGTATTTTTCTTGTAGGTTTATTGCTGTCAAAAGCACATTGGAATAGCCAATAGGGATACATATCTAGTCAGAACGTAATGAGCTGTGCATGCACAGGGAGCCTCGATGCGGAGAGGAGGCTCAAAGAACTCAAATCGGAGTTCGCCGAGTCTCCTCCAATAAGGATTTCCAAAGGCATAAAAGATGCAGTGGCGTCGCCAGTTCCAAAAGACTGGGGTGGATAAAAACATATTTTCTCAGGCACGCCCACTAAACTCCTAGAATTTTTATCTATTTTGAAATTTTTAGACCAGCAACTTTCTCAAGCAGCTTTTTTCGTAACAGTGGCTTTTTTGCCAGTGCAAAAATCGAAATCGATCTGAACAGCCGAACTCCCCCCCTTCCCCTCACCAAAGGTTAACTGTGGTAGACATGTCCAGCCCAATCCACCCCGGGGCGACGCCACTGAAAAGATGTGATGCGATTTTTAAAAATATGAACAATTTGAAAGCCACTATCAAAAAATTGTAAAACTTCTTACAACCGAAGTTTGAAAGAAGAAAAAAATACTATCAATGCGAAAACGCTCTAAAATGTTCTGAGACTTTTTATATTAGTTTAGATATATCTTCTTATTGAATAAATGTAGATAATGGCTCATTTTTTTCAAGTTCATACATCAAATACCTTGATAGGTGTCATTCGACAAGAAAGGTTTCGCGAGGCGATGAAATTCCTCCCAATAACACGTATACGGGAACAATCACTTCTTTTTTGAATATCGCAGAAGCCGTTGTTCTGAATGTATCTAAATGTAGGACCAGTTGTTATATTGACAGAGCAGTCAGGTGCGGAAAACCCTTTAAAACACTCGCATGTTCCATTTACACACGTGCCTTTTCCACTGCACAGTCCAGGGCATGAAATCGCAAATACTTCAGCTGGTAGGCTTAGCGTGACATTGCCTGATGGATCTCTTGACCAGTATGTAACATTGGAAATTAAGTCATCTTTACACTTTTCAGCTAAACTCTGGATTGCTGATGTCACCAATTCAAAATCATCAGTGACCTGAAAGATACAACTGGATTTATTCGTTAAATTGTCTTTAGAATTGTTATTGTTTATACTGCTTTCAATAGTAAGTTTTATGAACAATGCTGATTTTGTACTTTTAGATCTTTCGACTGACCAGCTAACTATTTTACCAGTCAGGTATAAAAAATTGTGGCTATGACAAACCTGCATTTCTAAGAGGTATGTGATTTTGTTACATACATCTTAAATTATACAAAGGTAAAGGTATAGCCATTTTGATAAATATTGGCCAGCAAGAAAGATGTGTACAGGGAAAAAAAATATTAACACAATGATGGCTGTTGTTTCGAAATGGCGTATACCTTTATATCTTCTACACATTGGTCAATAGTTGGACTGAAATCAAACGAATCCAACTTTTGGCACATCTTTCCTGTCTGGGAGTTCATTATTGTATCTGTACAATACTTCTGGACATCTGCTTGGGTTTTTCCTGTTTTTGTTGGCCATACTGGAATGGTTATGTTTAACGGAGTAGGATCATACACATAATCGCTTGATCCATCGTCGTCAGGTATCGTGATTGAATCACCGCTTCTGTGTACCGATCTCCTCTTTCTTCGACTGCAAATATCTTCATTTGCAAATCTTAATGGCTTCTGGTTTGCAGAAAACATCGCAGCTTCTCCGAGTGCTCCACAAGTTGCCTTATTTTCTACCTTTTCGTCAATCATAATCTCTTCACATTTGCAGTATTGTTTTTCACGTGTTCTTCTTTTGCATACTTTATCCTTTGGCTTGTAATAGAAGAGACTTTCGTCACTTCTAAGTCTAAAACGAATGTGAATTGCTTGCTTAGAAAATCATTTAAACATAAGTTTTTTAATCAAAGAGATAAAACACGCGTTAAAAACAATTTAAAAAGAAAGCGACTTGTCCGCAGAGACCTAGTCTAGTTGTTACCATAGATTGCTATCTCTCCAATACTGCTCGAGGAAAAGAGAATGGATGTTTTTGCTTTTACATTGCTTATAAGAAAAATAACACTGCCACTATGAAAAATACCGTTTCCATTGACTCACTTTAAAAACGGATAACTTTTAACCCGGTTATGTTCTTATCCGGCCTAATGGAAAGGCTGCCTTAGTTAAACCAAATTTGAATGCTAAGGCCGTGCTGTTTTTGCCAAAGGAAGTCCATCAGATACAGAAAAACGCAAGACTGTTGCGCACAAATTAGCAAATCAAAAAAAAATATTTCACTGAAAAAATCATTTTCATGCTCAATTCCAGTCTAAATTCCATTAAGTGAATAACTTTTGTTTCTACAGGACAAAATAAATTTTAAGTCGGTTTTGCTCCAATTCATCTGTGTATTCATTGCAGCTTACATAGAAATTTGCAGTCCTGTAAATAAAATATGCTGAAAATGTAATTAAAATATCCTGAAAACGTGCTAAAAATATACCTTTTAAATTAGCTGGCAAAATAATAATATGTGAGCTCTTCAGTTCAGGATATGCACAATGATCGGCTTGAGTTGTTAAAAGTTTAATTCGAGAGCAATTCACTAGGAGAGGATTATCACTACTAGGAGAGGAAAAACATTTTAAAATCACAAAAAATTAAAGCACAGTTTTGGTGATTGTTAGTAACTGTTTTTTTAGCAGTAATTGCAGAGCAAAAAATGTATCCAAAGCTTAGTAATGGATACAAGCTTAGTTTCTGTTTCGATTTGAAGTTTAATTTGCTGGTTAGCTTCCTTTATTACTTAACAGTGTTCTCAAACCGTCCTCGATTTACTGAGTCTAAAGACGAATCCCTCTAGTTGTTTGTGGCCTTATCTCCAAACAAGTACTTGAACATTCGACTTTAACCAATGTTTGAAGATGGCACGAAATAGTTTGCTTGTCCTCGTTGTCGTGTTTAAGTTCATTGTTAGCTATACTTTAAGATAGCTTCACTCATATTTCACACTTATATGCCAGTCTACATAATTCTTGGCTATTAGAAAATGTATATTTTAAACATTTGCTAGAAAATTTGTCCTATATGAACCATCTACATGCTGCAAAGTTACGATGGCATTATACAAAATTTTTTGCATTTTCTGCAAAAAAGACATTATGCAACAAAGATAATTTAATTTCATTTTACACGAGGTCTTATAGAGTGAAGTTATTCTTTCTAATTTTGATGCTCGCCAGAGACCTACCATGGTTTGCTAAAATCAAGAGTATGGGATTTTGCATTGCTTGGCAGGTCAAAAGGTGTATACGTGCCCCAAGAGTCTGCACCTTACGTTTTATAGACATTGCTTTCCTCTTAAAGTACGTGAGATACATAATTTTAAAGTTGATTCCCAGTTTTAATATCAACAGGTTGTCTGCGAAACAGTGCACAAAGATTTTACCTTTTATCTAAAAAATGGCATACATAATATAATGTGATACAAAATTGTAATTCCGGAGCGTCCATAGACACCTAAACATTTTAACCAGTACGTTGTAGTTTAGTCTTTAGTGAGAGAATTTGATCCAAAAGGCATTTGAAAGAATATCTAAACCCACCTCCAACTTTCCGTGAACTCCTTTGGTGCAACTCTATGTGACGGCAGCTTACTATCCCAGATTCTTTCATATCTACTTATAAGTTCATTGTCTCTTTGGTCATCATATGTTCCACAAAGGCCTAAGGTCTTGCCATGATACAATGGAGGGAGTTTAACTGTGATGTCCCCAAAATATGTATTACCGTAGCTCCAGTAAATTGTGTTGAACGTGATAGTGGCTCCAGATGAGAATGATATCTATCAATATAATTTTGTGATATTTCAGTTTTAAAAATACAATGGTAACTATGTCATCAAACCAGATGGTTAGAACTTTTGAAGCGAGATACCCACGGCTCCCCTCCGATAAGGCTCTACCATTGCACGACCTCAAAAACTACAATTTCACACAACGGCAACTGAAACTCGACTGACATTACAACAAAGAATCACACACAAACATCCTAGTGACAACAATGAATAGAAGTTTAATAAAAGGTAAAAACAAAGGTATTGATGCAACATCTGGCTTTGAAAAAAGCAAATTTTTGAAAAATGCTAAAATTTTTCGTCTTTTGTCGACATACTAAAGCTCTTCAGAGTATAATCGTCAGTACATTAATCGAAAACTCTACGCTAGGAATTTTACATACCCATCAAAATAGGCCAGTCAGAAACGCTAACACATGACTGTGGAGGTTGCTTAATCAGTGCCGCTTGCCTATTGAAAATATTACCAATAGTTGAAAACGAACTCCTTCTGTCGATACAATATCGATTTTGTTATGTTTATGTAAACAGATGCCAAATCTGCTAGAGGGAACGACCATCGGGCTCTTATAATTTCGAAATTATAGTTTTTGCATAATATTAAGAGTTTCAGACGAAAAGCTTCAGTCTGTTTCAAAATATTTACTTTTTGCAAAGGTGTTTCTTTTAAATTTTGTACCATTTCACAAGTAATTAACAAACAATATACATATGAAAAGCTAGCTGCTTATCTTTACAACTGTTTTTATAGAAATAATCAAACCAGCCACTTCCATAGCGACGAAAAAGACAATTTTAACTAATTTCGAACGGATAATCGTGGAAAAAAAGCAAGACAAGTTGAGGTCAAGTCCTTGTCTGACTTTTGAAGAATTTTCACCATTTTTGATGACGTAATAAAAAACATGTAACTTCCGGCTATAATTTTTCTTGGCACATCTTGGATTTTAAATCTCCATCGCCGATTAGTTTAATGAATGTGAAATCAAATAAGAGATTAGGTAGTTTGCTATTTTTTTCTACAAAATTCCATGTGTTGATCCTTCGTTTTGGGATATTTTAAACGTACCGAAATAAAAACAAAAAGCAGTTTTACATATGGATCATTGACAGAAATTAATCAGTAATCAAAAACCTTCTTCATTGATACAACTATACGTAAAATATCTTCAAGATAGCATTTAGGGGAAATTATTTTGATCTCATACGATTTATATCTCTAATTTATTTCCCGAAATCGATAGGAATCTGTACCCCTTCTGGAACTGATCCCCGTGTCCCTAGGTAAAACGATAAAAAGTTTGATGCTTTGTTCCAATCTGTCACGATTTTCACTTTAAGCAACTGGACTAAAAACAGAAGTGAACGAAATCAATCCTTACTTTTATCAAATTTATAAGGGCTCAGAATGGAGCAAGATTTTTTGACACTATTAAAAGTGGCGGAAGTAAACAAATCTTTCTCACAGCGTACCAGATCAGTGCAGCGTACCTGTGAGTTAGACCCCGTTTACACTGTCCCGGGACAATTTTGTACCGTTACGGTTCGCAAGTGTTTACACTGTCGCGGTTCCAAACTGTTCCTTTTGTGCTTTAGGCTATCTTGGGCGCACTTTATTTTCATCTCAAGCGAAGAGAACAAAGCTCAATGTTGATAGTCTAGATTCTAGAAGCACAAAGGAGTCTCCTTCTTCCATTTTTCCGTGAGAGAGTTTCGAGGCAAGTCCACACAAAGGGGAGCATTACCACCCGACGAGGGACTTTACCAGAGCAACTTTTCGTAGACCAGCCTTTTGTGTAGAATTCAAAACTGGATGTTGATCGGGCGGGAGAGGAGGATTTTCCGAGATACATGGGGTTTTGTCCAAAAATTGGAATGCACACTGTGAATCGACTGTCAGTGACAACCTGAGGCGGAACTTTATCAAACCAGTTTTTTCTAGACTAGTTTTGATGTAGAGTTCAAAAATTGATATCAATCGGGTGGGAGAGAATATTTTAGTGTGCTTCCACGTAATTGCCATGCAGTTTCTCCACAGCAACAACTACATCTCTGCTCAGTCTTCAACATTTTTCTATCTGCTGACTACTACGCTATGTGCACAGCATCTATCAGGGTCGATACATCCAACTTATTGTGAGGTCTTGCTTTTTTGACGTTGAATTACCATCATACTTCTAGGAAATGATATGCCCAGCCTTCATAAACTGATAGATAACAGAAATGGTAAAAACAGAAAGCCCTATTATATGATCTTTCAGCATATGCTCTCACCACCATCTAAAAGTAGCCCTTGTTTGCCTTCACGGATTTATAGGAAACGGTTCTGTACAGTATTTTCTTTGCTAAGGAAAAAGGGTCTTCTGGAACATCATAAAAACGACCAGGAGTTTCTAGCCAAGACTTGAAAAAGTACAAACGTTGGTTGCGTGGGGTAAACGACTTGGTGCTATGAAGGATGCAAGAGACAAGAAAACTGCAGATCTATCTTTATGCCTCTAGGCAGTTTAAGATTTATGAAGCACACCCAACGCGCCAGCTATATTACCAGCCTTTGGAGACCGAATAGAAGAGCTATATTCAGAAATAAAAAACGACTATTGCATCAGTTAGATTATTGTCGAAAAAGTCTAGATGATGCAGATAATGCGGACACTGAACAATTCAGTGACAGTGCAGAGACAGAAAATTTAACGACATGACAGTTTATGGTTTTGAAATTATCATCTGCACAATAGATGCTAATGTAAATCTGTTTCGGTTTCAGGTTTGAACGTTGTAGAGATAACTCGCACAACAACTTATTTCGATAATTCTTTTTTCCGAACCAGATGGTCCTAATTTCATCCCTCTCCCCAAGTCAAGAACCCAAGTGCTGAAAGCAGTGCTAAACTATGTCCACTGGAGATGATATTTTTTTGTTAAACATGCACGAGAGATACAAATTGATCTATTAATAGGACGCTCGGCGGTTTCATTCCAATACTTTGACAAAGCCTTCTGTATCTCGAAAAGCGGAGAAAGCCCTTCTTTGTGATGTGGCAAAGAATGCCATGTTGGTTAGCTTCTAGTATGGTCGGGCAGCTTGTATGGCCAACAAGTTAGCTGCACTTGGCTCGAATGGCTGTCCCTAATTGGATAACTTGTCCAATTGTAAACAAATATTTTGATTGGTTAAGCAAATTTCTCTGGAATGCTTTACAAAATTTCAAAGTTTTTAACTTTGCAAGATTCAATTTTGCAGCATGAAAGTTAGTTTTTGTCAGATGAAAGACCAACGCACATTATTCGTTGAATGATTTGTCACAAAAATAAAGCAGAGAACATTAAAAGTAAATGGAATTAATTTTACCGTGAAGAGACGTCCAGTGGAATCTACAGTTACAACTGTACCATCAGATCGCTCCATCTCTTCTTTCCGTGGCAGACGTGGTCGTGGGATGCTATCTCTACACATATCGATGACAACAATATCTTCCCCTTCTCTTGCAGCAATTCCGCAGTTACAAGCAACCTGGGCGCACTGCCATGTCCTTATGTGAATCTTGGCGAACCAGAAGCAGAATGCTTACAAATATTATTCATATTTCAGGGTCTTTGCATGAAACTAAAGCAAATTTTTTAATAGTCAGGTGCCTAGACAAAGACAAAGGGAAGTACATGGCCCTCACTCACCATCAATTAAATTTCATTATTTATAATCGATTACTTAACTATTGAATCTTTAAGGGGCTCGCTCATAGATATTTTTTTTGTGTGTTTCATACCGGAAAAGGGTTTCTTCTGATTTGCGATAATTTACAACATTCAATTTATAAGTTTACAACATTCAAATCTGCATACAAGATTCTTAATATTTCCATTTGAGCTCAGATGGGCTTTTATTTACTAATATAGGTTTTTATCATTCCTGTTTCAAGTTATCTCGTATCAGTAATGGAAGGGTGGTCATTGTCATTAATCAGATCTTTGTGCCTCTGTCTCCAAGTTTATCTTCACAGCTTAGTTTGAAATGATGGTTATGCCTAAAAAGATTTTCTCTTACCTCAAATGCATTGTTCGTAGTTCTAACCATTTGATAATCTCCTACTTGGTAATGGTGGTAATATCTAAAAGACATTTGTCATAATAGGCCTAAAACACATTGAATATGGCTCTGAAAAAGGCAACATTTGAGTAAACTAAAGCTTTTTCATCTGACACTCTTCAGAGTCTATAACGTCAGAACATAGATTCATTGTCGTCGTCGCATTCGCCAGCTTCTTGTCACAGTCTGGGACCTAAGTGTCGCCTCAGATATGAAACGGCTATCTGGTCGAGTAATGTATTTGCAAGTATTGTGAATGCAAGTGTCTCGAATACCAAAGCAAGAAATTTTTTGATAAAAAAAGAGATCTGCAAGGTACTAAATAAAGGGCACGTGTCCGTATTCAGAGAAAATAAGTAAATAGCTACTTTAGAATTTGTGTAAATAACTGAATAAATGAGTAAATAACTTAAGACTTACTGGGAGCCGAATGTTCTTATATGGGGATCGCCAGTAGAATAGCAGAATCCCCACCTCTTGTCACTTGTAATAACCTTCAAAATAATACAAAAACTCACATCTATGGTCGGTCAAGATAATGGCATACCGTAAATCCTCGAATTAGCCCCCTGGGGGCTTATTTATTTTTGATATTTTTGGACGAGGGTTTATTCGAGGGAGGCTTATACGAGGGAGGGGGCTTATAAGATAATTTTAGACAATAAGAAGACATTATTAAAAGACTTTGTTTATTTCAGTAGGAATTTCTTTATGAGCATTTAATTAATTACTACCAAAAGTACGAATTTGTCGTGGTATTCAATAAAACGCCATAGGCAATCTCGGATGGCAAAAACTGTCAAATTGAGGGGTCCAATGCGAGAATATACTATAGCAGTGGGGGCTTATTCGAGGGGGGCTTATTGGAAATTTGTAGTTCTAGGGTGGGGGCTTATTCGAGGGGAGGGGGCTTTTTCAAGGGGGGGGGGGGCAATTCGAGGATTTACGGTATTAGAAAAAAAGAAACCGCATATCTTCGTTTGTTGGCATTAGCCTTATTTCGATCCACAGAAGCCAAAATCTTTTCGAAATTTGTTGCGTTTTCAACTCATTAAGAGTCACATTTTTATAAAGCTTGGAATTTAAGTCAAATTGTACTATGAAAATTAAAAGAATTTATTTACTTTCTCTGTTATCAAACTTGGTCAAATTTTTTTATAATACCTGAATGTCTGAAATTTTTTTATGAGATACCCAGCTCTCCATTGCACCAAAGTTGTTGACAGTAAGGCTAATAAAACTGTGTTCAGTGGGTCGTTCAACCATCTTTTCAGGAACTGATAAATGCAACGTTTTATGTTGTGGGCTATTTTTTTGAAACAATCTCAAAAAGCAGGTTTCTTCTGACTCCACTTTTCCATTATTCATATCTATTCTAATGCCACACGAATCAAAATTAGGTTTGCATAAAATTGGTATGGTAGCTTCAACCAATATGACATCGTCTTTTCTTCCTTCTACCAGATGAATTGTTCTGTTCCGAACCTAGAAATGCAATTGAAGTAGCATTTTTATTTACACATTTTGGAAGGATTTTACACGGATAGCGTAGGAAAGATATATTGAAACAATCATCTTAATTCCTTAACTGAATTTTACTTCCATATTAATCCCTTAACACACGATTTGATTCCAGAGATTTCAATTCAGTGAATGTAAAACCATGCAATTGTAAGCAAACATTTTACATAGGAACACATTAGCGTCCGCGGCTTTTTGGATAAGATACGAGAGACAACACATGATTACATCTACTCCCTTTGATTTCTATCACAGACTGACGCTAATATTAAAGCTATTAAAATCAAGAATGTGTACGTATTTAATTGCAAACAACACAAGTTACAGAACACCGTAAACAATAATTAACAATAAAAAAAGCGGCTAAACGCAGGACTTCCGGGTAATATAATGCCTTCGTAAACGGAGCTTGGAACCAAAAACTGTGAATGCATGTATCGAGAAAGAGCACGCACAAAATATACTCAGAGAGTAATCAATATCTAATGGAATTTAAGACGTTTAGATGGAATACTTCACTCACTCGTATGCCCGCAAAGAAATGATTGCTCTTTGTGAGTGGACTTGTGTTGCGTGGCGAATGTTGGTACCAACTCTGTACTGTACAGAAGAACTGAAAAGAAAAGAAAGGCCTATAATTAATCGTTGAGAAAAAGAATAACTATAAACAGAGCATTTTTTAACAGTGTAACTACTGGGTAAATTTAACAGTGTAACCCCAGTAGACTCAAGGTCTTCCCCAGTAGTTTGGGCCAAAATCACAGAATTTCCCCAGTAGTTTGGGCCCCTGGTAATTTCCACTGACCTCCGCTGTTTTTTTAAAATCAACTTTTAGATGAAATTATCTGTATTTCTTGACTTTGTACCTTCATGTATTTTTTTGCAGTTTATGAATTAGATATACAGTTGACATCCACTATCTCGAACTCTGAAGGGAAACGAAAAATTGTTCGAGATAGCGAATGTTCGGGTTATCGGATGACCTCAAAAAATCCAATTTTTTTCAAATTTGGAAGGTTTGACAGGCAGCAATAAAGGATATGTAGTCACTAATACAAAATAACAAGCCAAACTAAATAATTAAGGAAAATTAGCATCTAATATCATTTGTTTTCTCTTTCTAACCAGTTCCTTCTCTACAACACCATTCATTTCATTCATTTTAACAAAATGCTCACAGAGCACTTCTCCATTCTCTGAGAATAAGAAATATATTGATATTATCTCCATCGCATCTCTTATTTCGTCCGTTGTTGGCTTTGTCAAAGGGTTGTCGTTGCTTTCTTGGCTGTCCTCTTGGTTGTCCTTGTGGCTGTCTTCTTTGCTGTCCTCAATTTCATCAACTTCTTCACCAATTAGCTCAGCTATGATTTCATCTTCAGTTGGCAATGCTGCTCTTGCTAAGATTTGGTCGTCGCAGTCAATAAATTTCCCTGCACTTGTGTTGGCTGGAGCACTTTCTCGATCTCTATTTTGCAGTTTCGTCAATTCTTCCACCAAGTCTTTAAAAGGGTCATCTTCATCTGATGCTGTTTGATGTTGATTTTCGGAAGAAAGGCCAGCTTTGGAAAAGCAGTTAGCGATTGTCGTTTCAGATACCAGAGACCACGATGCGGCTGACATGTCAATTGCATCCAAAATGCTAATTTTTTGTAGAGACTTTTGTTGATTAATTGTTCTGATGTATTTCTGCACCAAAACTGTTCGGTACTTTACTTTTAAACTTCGGATTACGTCTTGATCCATTGGCTGTGTCTTAGATGTTGTGTTTGGCGGCAGGAACACAAGCTTGATTGCTTTCAGGTTTTCTACTTCTGGATGTGCTGGACAGTTGTTGACAACAAGAGCAACCTTCCGTTTCTGTGCCAGAAATTTTTTGTCCAGTTCTTCTACCCATTCTTGAAACAACTCACCACTCATCCAACTTTTTTCTGTTGTCTATAACGGCATGGCAAAGACCTAATCCCATTGAAGAATCTAGGCTTTGATTTTCCAATTACAAACATGGGAAGCTTTTCTCCAACAGCACTGGTATCTGCCATTCCAGTCAGGCGGACTTTGCTGTGCGTACCTCCAATGCAACTTTCAGACTTCAAATGCATTGACTTGTCAGGCATACACTGATATAACAGTCCAAACTCATCTGCAATATAAATATCTTAAAGTTTGTACTGTGACAGCAGGGTGGTCTCATTCCATGGTGCTACCATTTCTGTAGTGATTAAACTCGCTTCACCAGAAATCTTCTTGAATGTGACGCTGTATCGCTTTTTCCAACGACGAATCCAACCACCTGACGCTTGAAAGTCGTATAACCCCGCTTCCTTTGCGTAGAACTTTACCTTTTCTTAAAAAACAGCGCCTCCAATATGTACGTCTTGATTTCTAACAGAAAGAAACCACTGGAAAATTGCCTTGTTTAAGCTTTCATGGTTTTTGCCTCTTGCTTTTCTGCGCTCTGGATTTCTTGCTTGGAAGTCGTCAAAAATTTTTTGTTTGTTTTTCATCCATGTTGAAAGTGTATTCTTGGGAACCATGTACTTTTCCGCAACATTTTTATTAGATGCCTCTTTCTCTAACTCTTTTACTGCTTCCTACTTTTCTTTCAAAGTCTTCTTAGTAGCAGAACGTTTTGTAGCAGTCGCCATTGCTTCTTTGAACTCTCTGACTGTTTCTCAACTTGTTTGCTTGACCCGTACACGAGAAAGGAAATGAGCACTGCATTGGCTTCGCTTTCTCAAAAATTTTTCAAGACTTTCATTTTCAAACAATAGCCAAGCATAATACACGCATTTTATTTAGCAAGCAAGTGCTCTATAAACAAGTCAGAACTCGGATACGGAAAAATTTAAGAAATTCCTATCCTCCCGATTATTCTCATCCCCCCGTTTATTCGGTACTCGAGAGTACGAAAATCCTGTAAGCCATTCACTCTATAAACTGTGACGCAAATAATCTAAACCTGTTACTTTTGGTTAGTACCTTCATGTTAGCATACAGTGGTTTTAGAAGTATGGCAAGTGCAGCAAATAGAGTAACAACTGACGGTAATATTGTGAATGTTGAGGACCAGATTCCTATCGCGGTCGTTACAAGCATTGAAATGGATTCGTATATCAAAGGGTATCATGCTTATCAGGATAAATGGACACCGCAGATTGGCGAAAAACTGCAATAGAACCTGATAATATTATGGATAAGTATGCCGCTTATGTTTTAAAAAAACAATGTCATTGTTGGTCATCTACCAAAGGGAAAAAATGGGAAGCTTGCGAAAACAATCTTTTTTTCTTGAGAGCTATCAGTACAGTTATTGTCATGCAATTGTAAAAGGGTGATGACATGTACGTCCCTTGCACATTGATGATAGGAGGGTTGAAACGTTTTATTGTCAGACTGCAAGAACAGTTATCACTTACTTAATAAAACATTTAAATTGTACCATAACACTGTCTTTTTAATCTGTTAACTGTCATCTGCCGTTCAAACAGATTTTTTACTCGTATTTATAATTTTCTGACATAACCATAAACAAAAAAGTTGGAGATAGCGAACATTTTTCGTCCAGGGGAAACAGAAAACGGTTCGACATAAGGAATATTCGAAATAGCGACCAGTCGAGATAGTGAACGGTTTTTCTATACGTAACTCTAAAGCAAAACCAAGGGAAACAAAAATTGATTCGAAATAGCGAATGTTCGGGATAGCGGGCAGTCGAGATAGCAGATGTCAACTGTATATTGTATCGCCTACTGTATCGCTCTTTTCGTAAAAGTCATCGTCCAATAAAGAGGATGACTACATATCTCATTATCTTCAACTCAAATTTAGTCCTTCCTAACCATGCTATAACGTCATAGTATATAACTTTGATAAAAAACATTGCATATAGCTCTACAGCTATGCTGTGGTAATTAAACTGTTTACACATGCATATGGACATTCAGTTGTTTTATGTTCAACGCTTCAAGACACTGATACATATTGGCTGGCATCATCCCGTGACGCAGTGGTGTGGGGGTATCCAGGTGTAGAGGTGGATATGGTTTAAAGCCTAGAAATGCTCTGCCTGATGGCTTGACTGATGAGCTAGCAAGGCATCAAAATTACAAAGACAAGATATTCACAGATTTATGTATGTTTATATACATATTTATGCACTATATATAAACGTACAGAACAGTATATTTTATCTATATGAATATTGGCTTCTTTCCTTTTCCAACACTACTCAAACAACAAACTGAATCCTTCCCTGGGTATCATAGCCACATAAATTCATGAATGGAAATAGAAGATAGGGGCAGGAAGCGGAGAGGAATGGTTAGCCCAGAGCTACATTACATTCTTCTCAGGAAGACGCTCCTCCACTTCCCGCTCCTGTCTCTTTTTTATGTCCAGCCTTGAATTTCTGTGCTCGAATTTATGTGGCTTTAGTAGCCAGGGTAACTGGATCCCTGATCCCTTGACGGTTTAAGGTTGCGTGACAGCGTCCAGTGAGTACTGGCTGAAGTTGGCATTAGACGATATTTTCTTAATTTTTCCCTAGCTGTGCTTGTCTTTTTTCTATGGCTTCAAAGGCAGAGGCCCAGCCAGAGGCCTTGCCATAGGCTCAGCCAGAGGCGCATTCAGAGGCTCAGCCAAAATCCCAGGTAGTGGCCCAGCCAGAGGCCTTGCCATAGGCTCAGCCAGAGGCGCATTCAGAGGCTCAGCCAAAATCCCAGGTAGTGTTCCAGCCAGAGGCCTTGCCATAGGCTCAGCCAGAGGTGCAGTCAGAGGTTCAGCCAAAATCCCAGGTAGTGGCCCAGCCAGAGGCCTTGCCATAGGCTCAGCCAGAGGCGCATTCAGAGGCTCAGCCAAAATCCCAGGTAGTGGCCCAGCCAGAGGCCTTGCCATAGGTTCAGCCAGAGATTTTATCAGAAGCCCTGAAATAGGTTCAGCCAGAGGCTTCAATAGAGTTCCAGTTGGAGACCATGCCAGACGTCTAATCGGAGGCCTAGCCACAGGCACTGCCGATTATTTGTGTCCCTGCTTGATATGTCCAAAGAAATCTACATCCTTTGAAGACCTCAACTTATCTAACATCGAAGCAAAGTATTAGACGATGATTTGTCACATATGTTTTACATATAACTTTATAAACTGCAATACATGGTACAAGTTGTTAATGCCATAGATGAATTATTCCCAAACAACTGGATTTTCTTTCGCACTTGTAGTTGCACTCAAGCTGCAAAATTTAAATGCAATCATTATACCAGACCAACCAAAAGCAAATCACAACAAAGATTAAGAATACGATAGCATTGACTTTACGTTTGCTGATGATACTAGCAATGTAATAACTGACAAGCAACATAGGGAAACTAAAAAGTAAGAACTCTCTTTTAAAGTCAAACAAAGAAGTTTTAATTTCAATACAGAACAACTGAAGAATATTTTGTTGGTGCAGCTGGCAAAGATGAATGAAAGACATTTAGATATCTAGGAAGATTTTTAGACACCGAAAAGAGACCTAAATAGAAAATTAGGACTATCAATTGATACTTTTAACAAATATGAACGAAATTTCTGAAGCACACAGACATCCTTAATCTCATAATAAAAACTTTAACCAAAATAATGAAGAAATTCCTGATATCTTCCAAAGAAAGTGCTACTTAAAATGCTAAACACCTAATTAATGGATAAAATGAAAAAAGAAGAAATTTGAAGCAGATCACATCAGAAGCCAATCACAACCGAAATGAAGCAATGGTGAATAGCCTTGCTTGAGTCAGAAAGGGCACCACGTGAAAAGGTTGCCAGAAAGAGCACCAGTAAAGTTAGCTTTCAAATTCCACTTGAGAAAGCTAATGGCGAAGGGTCAGACAAATGAAAATAGACGAAAAGCCAATAAACAAAATAGTAGATGAACTTACTGAGGAAACTATGAGCAACTTGAAGGGAATCAAGCAGTGGCAACGCTACTGTCTCGAACAAGACCAAAGAGCCAATGATAAGAAAAATTTTGCTAGTCCTTTTCTCATTAAGCTTTACTCGCAACCAATCCCACGAGTTGTCACGGTACCCTTTATGCTAGTGCAAGGGCGGATCCAGATCAAATTTGAAGGAGAGGCAGTTGGTAGTGAGGGCGCTGTTAATTTTTCATAAATTGGTGACGAGTGTACGCTGTATACAACAGTTTCAGTCCCCAACCACTGACAGAAGGCTGCCCATTCACTTTTTAAGGGAATTTTCACAATAAGTGTTGTATACTTTGAGGTAATCCTTGAAGTAAATTAACCTATAAGTCTCAGAAACTTTTTCACCTGATTCTCATTCTTGAAAAGGGGCGCACAATTTCCAAAAAGGGGGCGCCAGACTTGCTTCAACTCGGTGAGGGAGGGGCAACTGCCCTTAGTTGCCCCCTCCTCTTTAAATCGACCACTGTGCTAGTGTCAAAAGTGTTATCTTGTGAGCTCAATCCCTCAAGTAAAGTAAACAATTATCAACAGCAACCCCTAAACAATCGCACTTTTATTTAGCCATCTTTATACAGCCTCTTTTTAAGAAGTTCTCTACATCCGTTAATCAGAGTTCTCTACATCCAGTATTTCGAAATCGTTAATTGTATTTCTCAGATAGCCCTGAAAAACTGTAATGTAAAATGTTCCTAATATGATACGAAAAACGAAGAACAGAGCGTTAAGTTGATATATCGACTGTTTACTTTTTTGAATACGATATTAGTGCATGGAGGTTTTATAGAAATTATTTTGTGCAAAAATTGTTGCGAATGAGACAGTATTCCCCGTAGCTTTTGCAAAAATCAATTGGAAAAATTGAAAAAGAACAATCATTTAGGAATTTTTAAACAAACGGATTGTTCGATAACTACCTGAGGTTAAAATGATAAAATTCCAAGTTCTCTAAGGTACAAGCATCTAAGTAAGGGCCGGTGTGTATAATGATTCAGTTCTTCTCCCTCGTTGCTTAGATTAAGACATACTTTGTGCTTTTAATCTTTGTAAAAAGTGAACCAAACTGTCAAAAATTGTGATCCAGTACTTTTCATGTCAACCAAAATTATCCACCAACGATAAAATAATAATGTTCTTATTTCAACATGATATCCCATCAGAAACCAAATTACAAGTTATGATTTAAAAAACTAATAATGGAAGACAAAAAATTAAGAAAAATTATTTAATAATATGATTCAATTGAATTTGACGTCTGAACTTCCTGGGAGTCGTGTTTTAATTCGGGTTTTTACTGAGCTCTTCAGGTGAGCTTTTAATTTTCGTTTGAATTGATAGAGCAGGGGAATCTCCCTTAGCTCTATGGGTATTTTGTTCCAAGCTTTAAGCCCAGAGAGGTGAAATCCTTTTTATATACTCTCAAGCTTAAATTTTGGGATGTCGAGATTTCTATTGTTTCTTGTGTTGTAACTGGAAATTTCAATCCTCTGATTATACTTGTTCCAGAGGATCTCAGGGCACTGCTTATTAACTATTTTGTGTGTCATGATAAATCTATCAAAAGAGATGATCTGATCAACGCTTAGCCATTCACTGTTCCAGGGGTCCTTTCGTTTGCCATTTTCAATAATTGAGAATGCCCTATCCTGTAGACGCTGAAGCGTTTGTAGCTTCGTGTTTGGCAGGCTACCCCCGGACAACATTCTCGTATCGGAATATTTAACCAGTGCATGATAAACCTCACATAGTTTGGATTGTGGAAGTACTTACTTTATTAATTACTTTTCCTTTCAGATATTTAAAGTGTTCCTTCCACTTGAGTTTGCCGTCTAAAATAATACCTAGAGATTTAGTTTTTTCACTCGTTTTATTTTTGTGCCATTAAGTGTCAGTGGAAGAGTTTCAATTTTCTTTTTTCTACGTGGATGACCGATAAGTTCTTTTAGGATTTGCATTTATTTTATGGATCTTCATCCACTCAGAAATAATTTACCAAACTGCAACCAAAAATTATGCAAAGATGTTAAGTTTTTGCGAGAATTTTCAAAGGGGCTGGGTCACGGGTTAGGCAGCGGGGCAATGTCATAGTGTTGATACTCATGGCTGAAGTGAATCAACCATAATAACTGGAGTGAGAATTGGTAGCACCGGAGAGAATCGCAGCGCATTGAGAAGATTCTAACGTCCTTTGTTACTAATAACGTCCTTTACTATTTTTCGTTGACAAAGCAATAAAGATCGAATTATACGTAAATCATTTCATTAATCAATCCATTGATCAGCAAAAACATGCGTTTTGTATGAACGCATGCGTGAAAAAATGAATGTAATTTTCAAACTTACTGTGTCGCCAAGCTTCATTCTTCCATTTTGTTCTAACACGCTCCATTTGATGACCATTTTTTGCTTAAAATTATTGCCTGTGCCCTCTATTCGAAATGTATTGTGTGAACTATCGTACCATAATATGTTGAAAATGTCAGAAACCATTGTTGCATCGGTGGTAAAATTGCAAACAAAGTGGAGGAGATTCGACTTCACAACGTAATGCACTCGTGGTGTTGAGAATACCGGGAATAGTTCTAAAAGCAGAAAAATTGATAAAAAAGATCTTTGATTAGTAAATACACTGGATTGCAAAGTTGTCCTAAAGATTTGTAACTTGAAAATTGCAACGCGATTGGTTTTTTCCTGTATTTTGAACAGTTTTAATGGAATAAATAACTTAAGTATAATATGCTAGAAGGATTTTACTAACTATTGCATTTTCCATTTATTGTGAATCCAGTTGTTGAACTTTCCCCAAAGGGGCATGGAATTTCACTTCCTGCAAAAAACGCAGTACATTGAGGAAAAGGCAAGTGCATTGACACAACCTTGAGATAATATATAAAACTCTGCTTAGTTAATATAAAACTCTTTTTACTAAGTATAAAACCCTGAAGACTTGATAGTAGGCGTAATTCTTGGCCATTAACCACCCAAATAAATGATTGTTACTTTATGCGTTTATTAGCTCGATTCTTGGTAATTCCAAGCACAAGTATTTCTCAAATACAATCCTTTCTTCATAGAACTGGATAACGCTTCAAATTTAAGAAATTTTGGATCATAGGTGACTTGATTCTATTTCTGTTTCGCACAGTACTTTAGCTTTGATATATATGGATTAAATGTGTGGCTTTAAAATTTGGCTTAAAATTTGGAGCTTAATTATAAAATCAAATTATTTCCGATGTCATATGGGCTGCTTAAGATTTTATTTATAGCTCGAAATGTAAAAGTTATTTTTCTGCTTTTTACAGTCTCAAAAAGGTTTCTTGCATTAATTCAAACTCCCTACAAGTCACAGAATCTAAAACTGGTACAGTTTCCTAAATCTAAAATCTAAAATCTAAGAAATAAAATCAAAAATCTTTAAGCTTTAAATCTTTAAAATTTGAAATCTAAAAATCTTTTTTGTCATTAAGCAAGATCGAATCAGATATGATTTGCCAAAATGGATTAAACTTCTCCATTGTGAGATAAAAAACCATATGCTAGCAGCATAAAAAACCATTTAAATTGGCAACAGAGAATTTGATCTTTTTCATTTGCAACCTTACAACAAAATTTGACATTTAGCTTTATTTACATGCCATCAATTTGCAAAATTAGTAGAATGTAATATTTTACAAAAAATCTTAGCAGAATGAAAAATTAGATCTTACCTGCACAATAAGATGCACATAACATCGGTCTTGTTAAGAAATAAATATAATATTCTTTTCCGTCTACTTGGCAGAATCTGGCCTTGATTCTTAAAGTCTCAAAGCAAGGAACACCATCGTTATCGTAACAGGCTTGCAAAGAGACTTCTCTATCTTTAGTTGTAGGTAAAGTACCCGATTTGATATAAATTGGGCGTCGAGTGCCTAGATTGATAGAAGAAAATCAAACATGCATTCATAGATGCCTAAGAATAAGTTATAGAAGACTGTTGTATATAGCAAGAGAAAAGTATTTGAAATGGGGAGCCAAAATGTTAAGATTATGAAAAGGTTTAGTAAAGACCGACACCATGGTGGTGATAATAAGACTTGTAAAATATGATATATTCTACAAATGGCCAGAATCTACATATCTTGGACAGATTTAACCAAAACAACATTATAAAGCCTTTTATGATCTGCAATTAAATCTATTTTAAGGTTGACATTTCAGATGGAAGTTTATTTTGATCTGGAGGAAAAGAGGGGACCACTTCCATCGTTTGAAGTAGACATCAAACGAAAACAAAGAAAAAATATAACTCTATTATTGCTAAGCAAGACAAATACCCGGAGAAGTACAAAGTTGGATAGCTCTGACAATTAGATTATTTTGCTTTGAAATATTATCCCCCTGGTAAACCAATTATCGCCACCGGTAGTAATAGGGTTAAGAGATAAAGAATTTCATGAAACTATTGAAAGTTGTGTTTTTTTTTTCTTGAGAGTTAGGAATATATTTTGAATTAGGAATTATTTATCTTAACTATCAAAGTAGCATTAGAGAAACTGTTCAAAAGAAGAAGCTTGTCAATTGTAACATAAAATATATCAATACTTAAGTGCTCAAACTTGTTTTACAAGGCATTGTAGAAGAGAAAAGTACGAAACAGAGATTCTCAGTCGTTCAACACGGCTGTGCTTCAAAGTTAAAAAGCTATAGATAATTATTACCTGGCTATTGAGGTGCTAATATTGTTTAACAATAGCCTTGAATAGACAATAATGTGCTGAATTTTAGCACTGATGCAGTTGAAATTCAACATACCACAAAATCCAGGTGAGATACGCTGATGCCGAATCTTTCCTCCGGCTTTGCTGGTAAAGCGGTACCAACCACTTGCCAAATGTGTGTCACAACGTGGAGTATGTGTTGCAACCATTTGATGTCTTGTGCTACGTTGCCAGACATTTTCTTCTAGGTAACTTTGACAAGGATCCGCGACTGAAATGAAGGTACCGACTCTTTTCAATGCTAATAAAATGAAATTTTATTAGAGTTAATTTTACGAGGGATGTCGTAGAATTTGATTTCGCTAGGGGGTTCTTATTTTAGCTTATTTGTATAATTCTCATTCGGTGTTTGAGTCTTTATGTGCTTCTTTGAAGCCATTGGGAATAATAGAGAAGAAGGAGTTCTGTAGTTTGGGCTTCTGCACGAAAATGTGGATCCCTTGACTCAGATGGGTGTATTTAATTGCATTGGGTCGGGATTATCGTGCTTACTTCCTATGCTGCTTCCACGCTGTTTGCTTCTCGCCACTGTGTTTGGCTCAGGCTTGCTGGTGAAGAGATGACTAACGATGTACGAGTACCTCTACTGGCTACCAGATATGTTTACCATACCAGGCTGTTTTAGAAATGCTCTGAGGTCTATAGCTTGGTCTCTTGCAGTAAAATTTAATACTCGTGTGTATATAAGCAGTCTAACTTCTTCCAACATACACTTTGTCGCCTCGTTCTTGCGCTTTCCTAGCAGATAATTTCCAGTCGGAATAAATTTGCAACAGTTTTGGGCTACAATTTCGCAATCATTTATTTGCCGAAAAAAATTTACTTGAGTGGCAAGTTTAATTGTTGCTCAAGCCTAGCGTACACTAGCGATTTTTGTCGCCAGCGACGGCGATTTTTGTCGCTGGCGACTAAATGTTTTCCCCGGCACACTTGCGATCTTTTCTGCCTTGGCCAATGACTTTTGGTCTCCACCTCGTAATGAGCCTCGATAGAAATGACCAGAAATTAAGAATCAAATTTTTATAACCCATGCATGTGCCTGGACATCCTCAAAAATTACGGGATGGGAAAATTTAGACAAAAACAATGAAAAATATTGCCAGCTTTGATTTAACCAGGCCACATTTAATGGCAAAAAATTAGGCCCAAAATTGTAGATTTAGCTTGGCCTAAATTAAGCTACTTATTTAATTGTCTTTCCTTTTTTTACTGAAGAGAACCCAACACATGGGTTTTATGCACAATTTGTTTGTTATCTATTTTACTGTTAGTTGCTAGTAGATAGTAAAACCTACATCGTACGAGATTTTTCGCTTTATAGGCAACCCATACTGCTAAAAGGATATATTAATAGAAGTGCAGTTGTTAGTGCAATGAGAGAGAAATCTTGTTCGTGTTTATCCAAATACGTTTACAAATAATTGAGAGCAGTAGTACCCGCTCGTGGCACTAAGAGCAGCTTTTGCAGACTCAGCCACGGCTGCAGCTTTTGCCGTCCTATCGTCGTATTGTCGAAACGAAAAAAAAATTCCCGCGCCACTAATCGACTAATAAATCATCTTAATGCGTTGTCCAAGAGAACTATTCCTGTGACCTCCATCTTGTCAATATTCTTAATAATCAACACACTTTCCACGTGCCTTGAAAACACTTTATGATAGGCTGATCAACAAAAATTTGTTTTTGCGCCCCGCCAACTTGCGATTTTCAGTTTTTAGTCGCTGGCGACAAAAATCCTGTGATGTTTTTCCCCGCAGACTAGCGATTTTAGTCGCCAGCGACAAAAATCGCCGTCGCTGACAACAAAAATCGCTAGTGTGCGCTAGGCTTTAATAACATTTATTCTGACTTGTGCCACGTATTCTACCTTTGAACTATTCTCTATTACGAACGACCAGGTGTAGTTGAGAGATATTCCGGCAAGAAATTAAATGAATTATTAACTTTAGACGCCTTTCTTTAGCTTTCCATCATTATTTATGCCTTTATATAAGATATGAAATGTAAGCAGCGCTACTATTCTTATAATGAAGGTTGTTGGGACAAAGTGCTGTTGTAACAACGCTTTTGTTGCACTTTTTCTTGAAAGTTTTTTTTTCAGAATAAGGCCTTTATAAGAAGATTTATCGGCTCAGTTACATATTGTAAGACAATTTTTTAGGAGGCCTAGTGTTTGTTATATTTAGTATTTTGTTGCCTTGTTCGATCTAAAGACTTGTCCATTTTTGCTCAGTTTGCCTAAAAATTTGGCGCAGATTATTTTGCTTTAAATATTTTCGTTACTCCTGATGCTGCTGGTAGCTCGGGTACTTATGCATTTCGTAACCGTGAACGCTTCGCGGATGTGTGGCCCGAGCATAGAAAAGTTGTTCAGTATTGTGCACAAGGAAATAATACCTCCTAAAAATGTCACGTTTTCATAAGTTTCTCAATTCAGCAACGAGATTGTTGCACTTAAAGTATTATCCTTTTGGAATTGTTGTTGCCAGTGCTCCTCAGATTAAAACATTTTTAATGTTTTGCTGGTGATTCTTTGCATGCTACTGAATCAACTCTTTTCATTGTTGTGTCAGTTCCTTAAATGATTGGTGTGAACCATCTTGTACTGGAAATTCCTTTTTGGCCGCATTATATCTGCCGCAAGATCACACTTTTAATATGCATGGTTGCTTAGAGCCTTTGAATACCCATAGTTATAAAGCGGATATTTTGAATTGAACTAGACTTTAAGCTGCCTATCACCCCCAATAATGAGTTAGGTATTCCTCTTAAAGGGAGGTTGTTGCTAAGGCAAGTAACTAATTTAGCAATGTAGGATATGAAGTTCAGCACTTCGTGAGAGTAAATCATAGATGATTTTCTTTGATCATAGTCTCTTTTCTTATGAATGTGCTTTGATTTGTTAAACGACGGGAAATTTTGCGTTATTGATCCATCTTCGTATTCTCTATAGCTCCTGTTCAAAATCATCCGAACTGTCAACTGTAGGATTAAAATTTTCTATAAAAATGTTCGACTAAATGATCCATCAATAAATTCTCCTGAAGAAATACACCGCTCAATGCATAAATCATGAGAACAAAGATGTTAGGGTTAAACCTCGCAATATAATTTTAACAAAGCTTTTCTGCACCATGCTAAAATGCTAATGTTCTCGTCTGTCAGTAGAGGCGATGTATGATCAATAAGGCCAATAATTTTACAGGGGTCAGTATGAGAAATATTTTAGGGTCCAGGCGATGTATGGGTTTTAAGACTGACTTCCACTGACTTCCACTGACTTACCACTGACTTACCACTCAGATTGCAGCCAAGACAATACACTCCTGCACAGCAATTTTACCTCTCAGTCTCAGGTAAACAAACTAGGTTCTGGATACAGTATTGGAATTTTAAAGCCAGTCAAGTCACTTGTTGGCACGATTTATAAAAAGATACTTAAAAGAATTTAAAAAAATATCAAGGCCACAGAAAAATGCTTGTTGCTGTTGTTGGTTTAGGCTAAAGGGACAAGCAGCTCAACATTTAAGCCCCCTGGAAAAGGCTGGATCTAGCAGAAGAAAAATTAATTTTACAGGAAGGTATGGTCTTACCTTTGAAAGACGCAATATTTATCAAGTAATACTGGTAAAAGTTAGAGAGATAATTTAATTGGTTGTGGCGGGAAATTTAAGTGTGGACAGCAACAACAACAACACGTATTACTGAATTGATCTGAAAAAATGGAAAAAGACCTGAAAACCTTTATCGATGTAACTTTCTTGCTGGGTTTGCTGCTTAACTGACTGCTTAAAACACTATCCTAAGCTTGAGATTTCTGTTTCAAATCAATTTCTTGGTGGGTTGGGCAAGGTTTAACAAAGGATCAAGAACAAAATATTTTGTAGAAAAGCTTGTTTACAGCAAAAAGTGTTGGTATGCCCCCTTACACCCCACTTTTTGTTTATCTAAACTTGCATGTATTCAAATAGTTAAGAAAGTACCAAAATACATTAGATTGGAACTATACCTCAAAAGCCATTTTGTTATTTTTAACTTTAAAGAAATATTTGAATGGTCAAAATGTTCTTAGGTTTCTATCCTTTACTTTATCAAGGCTGAAACAACATTCAAGATTTATTCAATTAACAGGAAATATTTAATCAATAACCTTATTTAATCAACATCTACATTTACTCATCATCTCAAAAACTATTCCTGTCAGAAAACTGTGTAGTCATAACTGTTATCTAGACAAGATAAGAAACACTTATGGAAGTTTGCAACTGATATCTTTAGTGCCACAACTTATATAAGATACATACCAACAGGAGGGCGAGGGGCTACATCAACCCAAGGCTTCAGCATACCTATGTAGAATGTAAAATATAAATTGTTGGTTAGGTTCAAGGAAAATGGAAACTGCCTGTACAATTAATTCTCTTTAACTGTCAGTAGAAAGTTGACATGTGTCATCCATTGAAGGCTTATTGTAATTTGCGAAATTTCGCCGAAATTTCGTACGAAATTTCGTTACATGAAATCCACCTTTTATACCTGAAATCGAAGCATAAACCAATTGAAAGTGATATATAAACCTTACATTCCTTGTCTACCATCATAAGAACGCATATTTATTGCATTAAAGCGACATGTTTCTTCTCAGTCTCCAGCGGTAGAAGCCATGCTTTCCGAGCCCATCCCAAAGAAGACGGGGGTTTAGTACATAGTATCTGGTTAGCGAGACACAATGTCAATGCCGCTGTGACTGCAACAGAGGAGACAAAGTGTAATGAACAATTAGGCTGTCATTTGCGAATGCAACCTTTCAATCGTTCCAAAATTATCAACAAAGTATTTACGAGAGGACTGTCCAAAATAAATTTTTGCAGTGGAAAAGAGCTTAAGTCATATTGTATGCTTATTTTAGTTAGAATTAGGATCCAAAAGATTACCATCATCCACGGGAGAATCAAATATAGCAAAATCCTCGCTTTAAACTGCGTTTTAAAAAATTAGTAATTTGCGAAATTTCGCAAAATACAGTTTTTTTACAACTACTCAAATGGAGCCGTATCAACATAAATCACGTCAGTAGGGTATGATGTGTCTACAAAATGAAGGAACAAGTCGCCATTGCCATTAACAATGTATGCCCTGTTGCTGTTTAGTCCTGCTTTAGAGATTTTAGGTTTGACTTTCGGCCCTTAGGAAATCGACCGAATTTTCATGTGATAAAGATCATATCAGTTCGGAAAAGAATAGAAAACGACTTTACGATCAAAAGGGAAAACAATTACAGCAAAATCCTCGCTTTAAACTGCGTTTTAAAAAATTAGTAATTTGCGAAATTTCGCAAAATACAGTTTTTTTACAACTACTCAAATGGGGCCGTATCAACATAAATCACGTCAGTAGGGTATGATGTGTCTACAAAATGAAGGAACAAGTCGCCATTGCCATTAACAATGTATGCCCTGTTGCTGTTTAGTCCTGCTTTAGAGATTTTAGGTTTGACTCTCGACCCTTAGGAAATCGACCAAATTTTCATGTGATAAAGGTCATATCATTTTGGAAAAGAATAGAAAACGACTTTACGATCAAAAGGGAACACAATTACAGCAAAATCCTCGCTTTAAACTGCGTTTTAAAAAATTAGTAATTTGCGAAATTTCGCAAAATACAGTTTTTTTACAACTACTCAAATGGGGCCGTATCAACATAAATCACGTCAGTAGGGTATGATGTGTCTACAAAATGAAGGAACAAGTCGCCATTGCCATTAACAATGTATGCCCTGTTGCTGTTTAGTCCTGCTTTAGAGACTTTAGGTTTGACTCTCGGCCGAAATCGACCGAATTTTCATGTGATAAAGATCATATCAGTTCGGAAAAGAATAGAAAACGACTTTACGATCAAAAGGGAAAACAATTACAGCAAAATCCTCGCTTTAAACCCTTTAACTGCGTTTACAAAATTAGTAATTTGCGAAATTTCGCAAAATACAGTTTTTTTTACAACTACTCAAATGGGCCGTATCAACATGAAAATCACGTCAGTAGGGTATTAATGTGTCTACAAAATGAGGGAAAAGTCGTTTATAGGATAAAGCCCCATTGAGTAGTTGTAAAAAACTGTATTTTGCGAAATTTCGCAAATTACTAATTTTTTAAAACGCAGTTTAAAGCGAGGGTTTTGCTTAAGTTGTTTTCCCTTTTGATCGTAAAGTCGTTTTCAATTCTTTTCCGAACTGATATGATCTTTATCACATGAAAATTCGGTCGATTTCCTAAGGGCCGAGATCAAACCTAAAATCTCTAAAGCAGGACCTAACAAGCAACAGGGCTACATTGTTAATGGCAATGGCGACTTGTTCCTTCATTTTGTAGACACATCATACCCTACTGACGTGATTTATGTTGATACGGCCCCATTTGAGTAGTTGTAAAAAACTGTATTTTGCGAAATTTCGCAAATTACTAAATTTTTTTAAAACGCAGTTTAAAGCGATATTTGCTGTAATTGTTTTCCCTTTTGATCGTAAAGTCGTTTTCTATTCTTTTTCGAACTGATATGATCTTTATCACATGAAAATTCGTCGATTTCCTAAGGCCGAGAGTCAAACCTAAAATCTCTAAAGCAGGACTAAACAGCAACAGGCATACATTGTTAATGGCAATGGCGACTTGTCTCTTCATTTTGTAGATACATAATACCCTACTGACGTGATTTATGGTGATACGGCTCCATTTGAGTAGTTGTAAAAAAACTGTATTTTGCGAAATTTCGCAAATTACTAATTTTTAAAAACTGCAGTTTAAAGCGAGGATTTTGCTATATTTGATTCTCCCGTGGATGATGGTAATCTTTTGGATCCTAATTCTAACTAAAATACGCATACAATATGACTTAAGCTGTTTCCACTGCAAAAAATTATTTTTGACAGACCTCTCGTAAATACTTTGTTGATAATTTTTGACGATTGAAAGGTTGCCATTCGCAAATGACAGCCTAACTGTTCATTACACTTTGTCTTCCTCTGTTGCCAGTCACAGCGGCATTGACATTGTGTTCTCGCTAACCAGATAACTATGTACTAAACCCCGTCTTCTTTGGGACGGCTCGGAAAGCATGGGCTTCTACCGCTGGAGACTGAGAAGAAAACATGTCGCTTTAACTGCAATTAAATATGCGTTCTTATGATGGAGACAAGGAATGAAGTTTATATATCACTTTCAATTGGTTTATGCTTCGATTTCACGGTATAAAAGGTGGATTTTCATGTAAACGAAATTTCGTACGAAATTTCGGCGAATATTCGCAAATTACAATAAGCCTCCATTGAAAGCATAATATCTGCTGAACTTTATCTTCACTCTGAATTTTATGCCTTCCACTCCCATCTAGCAACCACTTCTTGTTAATGAGAGATCTTCTGCTCTCTTGGACTTTCTTTTCGCATTGCAATGAGGCTAGGATC